TATATACAAAACAGACAAACTTTTAGCTAGACTTACCAAGAGAAAAAAATAAAATCAGAAGAGAAAGAGGTAATATTATAATTGATATAACACAAAGAATCATAAGAAACTACTATGAATCATTATATGCCAACAAGCTGGACAAACAAGAAAAAACTGATAAATTCCTGGAAATATACAAGCTACCAAGACTGAATCATGAAAACAGAAAATTCTAATAGACCATTACTAGTAAGGAGATAGAGTCAGTAATCAAAAACATACCAACAAAGACAAGCTCAGATTGCTTCACTGGTGAATTCTACCAAACACTTAAAGAAGAATTTCAAATTGTTCCCAAAAAATGGAAGAAGAGAAAATATGCCCCAAATCATTTTATAAAGCCATAATTACCCTGATACCAAAACTAAACAAGGACTTTACAAGAAAAAAAAAATTACAGGCCAGTATCCCTGATACACATGGATGCAAAAGCTCTCAACAAAACAGTAGCAAACCAAATTCAACAACATATTAAAAAAATCACACACCGTGACTAAGTGGGACTTATTTCAGGGGTAAAAAGATGGTTCAACATCTGCAAATCAATCAATATAGAACATTAACAAAATGAAGAATAAAAAGTATATGACCATATCAACAATAGAGAAAAAGCATTTGAAAAATTCAACATCCATTCCTAATAAAAACTCTCAATAAAGTGGGTATAGAGGAAACATACCTCAACATAATAAAAGTCATATATAAAAAGTCCACAGCTAGCATCATGCCAAACAGTGAGAGACAGAAAGTTTTTCCTCTAAAATCAGGAACAAAACAAAGGTACCCAGTCTCATGATTCCTGATTAACATAGTACTGGGAGTCCTAACATAGTAATTAGGCAAGAAAAGGAAATAAATGACATGCAAATTTTAAAAGGAAGAAATAAAATTGTCTCTATTTGCAAAACAACAAAAGCAAAAATAAACAAGTGAGACTTCATCAAATTAAGAAATTGTTGCATAGCAAAGGAAACCACCAGCAAAACAAAGAGGCAGCCTGCCAAATGGGAGAAAATATCTGTACATCATGTTATTGGACAAAAGGTTAATATCCAAAGTATATGAAGAACACATATATCTCAATAGCAGCAGAAAGGAAAAACCCAGTCGGATTAAAAAATGGGCAGAGGAACTGAATAGACCTTTTTTCTGAAGAAAATATACAGTTGCCAATGGGTACATGAAAAGGTCCTCAAGCAATCATCAGGGAAATGAAAATCAAAATCACAATGAGATACCACCCCATACCTGTTACACTGGTTATCATCAAACAGACAGCAAATAATAAGTGTAGGTAAGGATTTGGAGATGAGAATCCATGCAAATTGTTGGTGAGATTGTAACCTGGTGCAACCACTGTGGAAAACAGTAAAGAGATCCCCACTCCTGCCAAAATAAAACAGAACTACAATATGATCCAGCAATCCTGTTTCTAAATATACATCCAAAGGGTTTGTAAACAGAATATCAAAAGAAATATTCATACTCTCCTGTATCCCAGATATGGAAACAAACTAAGTGACCATCAACAGGTGAATGGAAAAAGATCTGATAAATCTCTATCTACAATGATATACATAATGGAATGTTATTCAGCCATGAGAAAGAAATCCTGCAATTTGCAACAGTATGAATAGACCTTGAGGGTATTATGATTAAAAATAAGCCAGTCAGAAAAAGATAAATATTGCATGCTATCACTTATACATGATTGTAAAAACAAAAGTTAAATTCATAGAGAGTACACAAGTGGTTGCCAGGGTTTGGAGGATGGGACAAATAGAGAAAGACTGATAAGAGTATAATTTCTCAGCTATATGATGAAAAAAGTCTGAGGATCTAGTATAAAACACTGTACTTATAATTGATTTGCTAAGAAAGTAGAACTTAGGGGCCTCATTAGAGAAAGAAAAGGTAAATAGCTAAGGTGATGGATATTTAGTTAACTAGATGTAGGGAATTCTTCTACAATGTCTATCAAATGACTGTAACATATACTTTAAATATTACATTTGTCAATTATACTCAATTAATGCTGAAAATTTTTAAAATGAAGTCACTTCACAACCTCTGTTATACTGATAGCTGTCTGAGGATATCCAAATGTTCCATGCAGGTATCATATAGTTAATTCCAGGTAGCTCTACAACTGGCTTTCCTACTACTCTTCTAAGGCAAAAAGTAATCTATATAAGGTAAATCTATATTAGATTAATATTATTGTTAATCTCAAACTATGACCATATAAACATAGTATTGTCTATATTAGATTTTAGATTTCTGGTGTGAGTTGGTTTTTTTTTTTAATGACAGATGGTATTTGGATGTAAAAAAAACTTTTCAAAATGTGACTTTGTCAAATTCTCTGAGAAACTTGACAATCATCTTCAAAGATGATTCCAGAAGACTATTTTTCCCTCATTTTTCATCTTATCACCATAGCATATATATAATTTCATTTTTGCCTTAATAATTCTTTTTTTTTAAAACCATCAAATAAGAAGACATAGTTTGGCCCAAGGACTTTGGAAACATTCAGGTCTCCTAAACAAATCAAGTTATAAAGCGGTTTTTCTGTACTTCTTATTACCATAAATTTGTTTACTTGTGGGGTTTAACAGTGGAATGGCTAAGCATGGACATATTTTCCTTCCCTTGATTTCCATCTCCATTTTATTCCTAAATACAGAAGATTCTAAGACAGTAAAAGAATCTGCCTGCAATGCAGGAGACCCAGGTCCAATCCCTAGGTTGGGAAGATCTCCTAGAAAAAGGAATAGAAACCCACTCGAGTATTCTGGTCTGGAGAATTCCATGGACAGAGGAGCATGGTGGGTTACAGTCCATGGGGTCCCAAAGAGTCGGACAGGACTGAGTGACTAACACTTTCACTTTCACAGATGATTATTGCTATGAATTCTTCATTCGTTAGTAATGTGCACGCGTGCTGTTGCTTCATCATGTCTGACTCTTTGCGACCCTATGGATGGTATCCTGCCAGGCTCCTCTGTCCATGGGATTCTCCAGGCAAGAATACTGGAGTAAGTTACTATGCCCTTCTCCCACTGGTTTTGTATTTGAACTTAATTCCCATTGTTTCAAGTGTCCTTCAAATTTTTAAATTTATAAAAATGTCAAGATGGAAATCTACTGCTAAGTATGAAAGATATATATTTGACTTCAGCAGTGTTCTGGAACTAATATTACCAAAACTCATTAGGGAAAATACATGCTTATACAACAATAAAACTTAAGGGCAACTAAGAGTTGATTCTCAGGGATATGACCATTAGTTGTTTATTTGTTTGTGTTTTCTTCCTGAAGTACCTTCTAAAAAATGAAAGCAATGATGAATATAAAGAGAAAACCTATAACCACATTACATTTAAATTCCAATATTTACTCATCATGGATCTGCCTCACATAGGAATATTAAGGTAGAGAAGTGCTCATTAAAACTCTTAATTCCATGGGGAACACATGTAAATCCATGGCTGATTCATGTCAAGGTATGGCAAAAACCACTACAATATTGTAAAGTAATTAGCCTCCAACTAATAAAAATAAATGAAAAAAAAAAACCTCTTAATTCCAAACATGGCTGGGAGTCTATTTGCCAGTTGGACTGACTCAAAATCTAAATATGCCTGTGAATCGCCGTGTTTCCATGTAACCCAACCTCTGCCACCTAAATAGATGCCCTCTATCCAGTTTGGATCACAACATTGCTGGCTCCTTATTCAAAGGGCGACATGCTTACATGTTAATAAATGCAAATCTAAGGCCAGATCTATATTACCTTGGCCTATAATCTCTGAAATGTAAGTACAAAACTCCTTTTTTATTTAGTTTAATTAAAAAAACCCATGCTTCATAGATAATAAGTTCATCTACTAAAAGAAAACTCACAAGATAGTCACTATCTAAATTCATTACTTGTTTGGTCTATAAGCCCAGAAAAGAAGATTTAACTTCCTCTTGCCTTGATTCATCTATGTTAGCTTCTGAATGGATATGATGGGGTAAGGAGGAGGTCATTTTCTAGTCTTGTTTCCATAATAACTAGAGGTCTTCTCCCTGAACAATAAGAGCAACAGTCATGTTTTATAAGAACACCAGTTCTGAGAGTATCAGCTGAAGGATCAAGTATAACTTCAGTCACTGTTATCTTTCCACAAGCTCCTCTCAGGGATGAGAACCTAATTGATTTTTCTATTGCATTACCTTGTTCCTAAAATGGTAATATACAGTTAAATGAATATCTGGCATTCAGTTAAAAAAAAAACATTATTTCTTTAGTTCATAAATACCTTAAAATAAAATCTTGTAAGGTAAAATTGATGATTCACAATTTAGGTGTTTTGAACAAAAGTCCTCAGCATTAAAAATTTATAGGACATAAATCACTTAGCGCTAAAAATTTCTGCCACAGTGAACATATAATATTAAATGCATTTATTATCTAGTGTTCACCCCAGATTTTGGGGGTGAATATTGATGGGCTAAAAAAACAATGTCAGATTAAAGACTTTAATCATCTAGATTTTTATTTCAAAACACTATTTCCTAACTTCCAGGAGAATTAAGAGTGTATAGATACTGAAAATTAATCAATTCTGATATAACCTTGAAACCAACTAGATAACAAGCTATTGTGTCCCACTATCTCTTCCCTGGTGGCTCAGAGGTTAAAGCGTCTGCCTGCAATGTAGGAGACCTGGGTTCCATCTCTGGGTCGGGAAGACCCCCTGGAGAAGGAAATGGCAACCTACTCCAGTATTCTTGCATGGAGAATCCCATGGACGGAGGAGCCTGGTGGGCTACAGTTCACAGGGCCGCAAAGAGTCTGAAACGACTGAGCGACTTCACTTTCACTTTCCATCTCTCCCACGGTAAGGCAACCTGTTCATGAATAGTTAATGGCTCTTCAAAATAAAAGTCAAGCTTAGTGTTCTTACCTGGCACCCTCTTTGCCCAGTTGATCATATGTACCAGCTCCCTGTCTGCAAGGCTGGTCAGCAAGCCCATCATTGAAGCCTCACTGAAAGGTCTGTTAGGATCATACTCAGAATAGATTATGGGGGGCTCAGCCTCCAGCAAGGCACTGATCATCTGGTCAGCCGTCAGGGACAACACCGGGCTGTTCTTCTTAGTGTGTTTAATCATGATCGGGCTTGGCCAAAAGTTGGCAGCTCTCATGTCTCCGGAGGGCACTGCTTCGTTCCTGCCCTCTCCATCATCTCTCTGGCGCTTGTGCTTCAACATTCTCCCTCCTCTTCGGTCTTTCCGAATCCCTGAGAACACACACAAACAACAGCTTATTCTTTTGCTCAAATAAACTTTCACATGAAAACCATTTTTAACACGAACAGCCTTTATTTTATTTAAGGAAATAGTTTGGGACACAGTTGTGCTGTTAAGTGTTTCACAACCAGCTGTCCACAAGAGGGGGAGAAAAAAGGCTTTGATTTGTAGCATTCACCAATTTCCATGGTGTAACTACTCCCACCATGGCAAATTTCAAGCTTCTTGTCTAAGATCAAGCAGTGTACAAAACTCCTACAAATTTAACAATAGGCTTTTATGAGCCAGTACAAGCTGCTCTTTCAAACCATTGCGGGATGTGCGTGTGTGTGTAACAGATGCTATAAAAAAGACAACATAATAATTAGCTACTCTTGAAATATGACATATAAAAGATCGCTCCTGCTATGAATATTCTTTCAATAGCAAATTTAAAAAGCATCTTTATAAAGTGTTTAATAAATGTCCTTATCACCCAAGTAGACCTCTTAATGGAAGACACTAAAGAGGAATGATTTATCCGAAATGTATCTGACAGTCTCTAGCCTCCACAGATGTCTAGTCAGTCTTTTATTGCTACTAAGTTGTACCTCATCACCTGAGTAATCGACTCAAGACCCTCAACTTGTTGACTAGGTTCTAAGATGTCACAAATGTCTTTCTATTTTCCTAATATTAAAGTTTTAAAATAGTTGCAAATAGTCTTCCCCCAAAGATTTACCAGCTGTAGTTCCCCCTAACTAATTAAAGGACAGAGACTCCAATTCTTTTCGCAGAGATGCTGTGAGGCTTGGTTCAGCATCTTAACCGAGAAAACGCCAGGCTGTAGTACTAAAATGTATCAGCAGAAACAAATATTTTAAAAGACAAAAATGAACACAAGGGTTCATATTTTCAAAAACTCTAATCTCTCCAAAACAGACCAGAAAGCCACATTTCTTAGATTTGTATAAAAGAAATAATAATTTTGGTAAAAATCTAATATAATTATTTTTAATATTAAAGACATGAGAAGTAAAATTCTTTGTAACAGATCACCTGTCCTCTGATTCCAAAACAAATGAATAACTAATGTCAGAACTTTGCTCTATTTTGTTCTGTCAAGGAGTTTGGACAAATGTTCACTGGTGAGTTTTTATGCATAGTTTTTATTCTTATAGATCTAGATTAGATATGTTACCTGATATTAAAAATATAATGATGCCACAGACCCTTCCTTATTTGTTCAGTATCAAAATAAGCATTTCTCAGAACTCTTGGAATAGGTAACAATCATAAAGATTATTATCACTAACATACACTGAGCACTTACCATGTGCTTAAGCACTTTAAATACACTTTACATGTACGCATTTTACAACTAATCTAGTCCTCACAATAACTTTGTAAGGTAAATGCCAGAAAACTGCTCCTTTAGAAAGATTCATGAACTGGTCCAAGGCCATTCTCTATTAAGTATGATCCAAGATCCAAGCTTCTAAATGAAGCTTGTGTTTTTTTTTCCCCAATTACCAGAGTTTCAAAATTGTATCCCACATAGTTGACAAATTTAAGGACATCTACAAGTAAAATGGGCTTCCTTGGTGGCTCAGCGGTAAAGAATCCACCTGCCAATGCAGAAGACATGGGTTCAATCTCTGGATCAGGAAGATCTCCTGGTGAAGGAAATGGCAACCCACTCTAGTATTCTCACCTGGGAAATCCCATGGACAGAGGAGCCTGGTGGGCTACAGTTCATGGGGTCACAAAAGAGTCAGACATGACTTAGTGACTAAACCAAACAAAAAAGAAATAAAATAGGTCAAATGAGAGTAATCATTGCATTCGGCCAGTTGCTGTCCTAAGTCAATTCTTTTCATCACCAGATGTGCTAACGTGAGTATAATATCTGAATTAAGGAAGCAAAACTCACACCCTACTCTCAGCTCATCAGAGCACACCTGGTCTATCACAAGCAGTGCTGGATGCGGCAGAGACCAGCAAAGCAAACCTTTTCAGAGTAACGAGGATGGTGAGGAGAGGTGAAATCAGGTCACACGGAGAACCACTGAGGAACTAAGAGGGGTTAGCCAGAGAAAAAAAAGACTTAGAGGAAACATGAGTGTCACCTTCACATGGGCTCTACCTGATAAAATGGCATTTTGGTCTGAATGTCTGTGTCTCCCCCAAATCCATACATTGACATCTAATCCCCAGTGTGATGGTATTCACACTTTGAATAGCATCCCAAAGGTATGACCCTTTGGGAGGTCATTAATTAGGTCACGAGGCTAGAACTTTTACAAATGGGATTAGTGCCCTTATATATAGAGGCCAGGGTGCCAACTTGCTCTCTCCACCCTGTAAGGGTGTGAGAAGATAGCTGTCTACAAGCAGGAAGCAGGAACGCATCAGACACCAGATCTGCGGGCAAACGTGGAGTTCCCGAGCTCCAGAACTGTGAGAAATGTTTGCTGTTTAAGCTGTGAAGCCTGCGGTATTTCTATTCCAGCACCTTAAACTGACTAAGAGAGATGGGCTCAACCTGCTCCTTACGAGTGCAAATGGTAAAACAGAAGAAATACGTGGAAATCATGAGAAGCCAGAGCTCGCTACAAAGACTCGGTCTGTAGTCAAAGCTGACAACAAAGATAGACTCTGCTGCCACAGGAAAGGAGGTGCTGGGTCACTGGAGGTTCCCAAGAATAGGTTAGATGAAGACTTTACAGCGGTGTTACCAAAGGCATTCAGTTTCCCAGTATTTGTACTACGTGACTTCCAATGTACTTTCTCTCCCGAGAGTGTCGGACTCCACGATCTCCCTTTTAGAATGTGAGACCACTGGCTGTGGATGAAAAACAGGAAAGGAAGATCAGAAGCAAAGAACTCCTAGAGATTCATATCTCTTAGAAACTTTGAGGCCAGACTTTTGGGAGGATGATGCTGATTATTATTTACCTACACTGGGTGACAACTAAGGTGAAAAAATGCATTGTTCTTCAATATTAGGCAGTGTATGTGTATAAGTCAAATACTCTTTGACTCCCTCTCTATAACTTTAGAAAGAGAGAGAGAAGGTAAACAGAGAATGTAAACAGATAGAGAATGTAAGCAGGTGTAAACAATACAATCTTTTAATATCAGATCTACATGGAAAGATAAAGGCAGGTGATCTGAACAAAGAAGAAATAATTAAAGGTGATTTTGTCCACCCTAAGATGAAACAAAGTTACTTAAGTAATCAAGGTATGACTATACACACACATTTTACTTTTTAAAAATGAAGTTGATGCTTTCTGTTATCATCGCAATTTATCTTCATTTTAAAATATTTCCAAGATAAAGACAAATAGACACAAAGTAAATTAAGCAAAACAAAACACAGTATTGCCCCCACTTTAAAAGGTCCCAGCAGTCACACTACAGACAAATAGACAAATCTGTTTTCTAGAATAATTTCAAACTTCAGGTTCTAAAAGTGACAGTTATTAAAAATTGCTTATCAAAGTATTCATTTTGTGAACATTTGTTCAATACTAACAATGTATATTCACAGATTATGCAATGCTAAACAAAGACAGATTATGGTACCCTCCATGAAGTTTTTAGCTTGGAGGGAGAAAGACATGAATCAAAAGTTGTTCTGTTATTTGTGGAATGAATCAATGAACTTCCCAAAACACAATGGAAGAGAGGAGGTAAAGCTAAGAAGAGGAGACAAAGGAGGTATCTCTAGGAGACAATGTTGCATTTGAGCCAATACATGAGATTTCCTTTCTTGGAGAAATTTAGAAGTAGACTCTTCTGATGGTTTAGGGATAGCACTATTACAGCAGTGAGCTGAACCATCACACCTCTTTGAGTCTCAAATATTTGATTCACATTGTTGAACACAAGTCAAAAATGACCACAGACTTGGAATGCAGAACAATTAAACACAACTGGAGAGGTGGAGATGAGAATATTTATAAAACTATCAAAGAGTCAAATATTGTAAGGTAGATTCAATGCAAAGAAATAGAGGAAAACAGCAGAATGGGAAAGACTAGAGATTTCTTGAAGAAAATTAGAGATACCAAGGGAACATTTTATGCAAAGATGGGTTCAATAAAGGACAGAAATGTTATGGACCTAACAGAAGCAGAAGATATTAAGAACAGGTAGAAGAATACACAGAAGAACTGTACAAAAAAAAATCTTCACGACCCAGATGATCACAATGGTGTGATCACTCACCTAAAGTCAGGCATCCTGGAATGTGAAGTCAGGTGGGCCTTAGAAAGCATCACTACGAACAAAGCTAGTGGAGGTGATGGAATTCCAGTTGAGCTATTTCAAATCCTGAAAGATGATGCTGTGAAAGAGCTGCACTCAATATGCCAGCAAATTTGGAAAACTCAGCAGTGGCCACAGGACTGGAAAAGGTCAGCTTTCATTCCAATCCCAAAGAAAGGCAATGCCAAAGAATGCTCAAACTACCACACAATTGCACTCATCTCATATGCTAGTAAAGTAATGCTCAAATTCTCCAAGCCAGGCTTCAGCAATATGTGAACCGTGAACTTCCAGATGTTCAAGCTGGTTTTAGAAAAGGCAGAGGAACCAGAGATCAAATTGCCAACATTCACTGGATCATCGAAAAAGCAAGAGAGCTCCAGAAAAACATCTATTTCTGCTTTATTGACTATGCCAAAGCCTTTGACTGTGTGGATCACAGCAAACTGTGGAAAATTCTGAAAGAGATGGGAATACCAGACCACCTGACCCATCTCTTGAGAAATCTATATGCAGGTCAGGAAGCAACAGTTAGAACTGGACATGGGCGAACAGATTGGTTCCAAATAGGAAAAGGAGTACGTCAAGGCTGTATATTGTCACCCTGCTTATTTAACTTCTATGCAGAGTACATCATGAGAAACGCTGGGCTGGAAGGAGCACAGGCTGGAATCAAGATTGCCGGGAGAAACATCAATAACCTCAGATATACAGATGACACCATTCTTATGGCAGA